TTCTGTTACACCAAATACACAAAATAATGATCTTTAAAAAAGCATCATATGACCCCTTTAAAGCACTGACCAAATTCAACACCAGAAAAGAGAACAAGCCCAAACCTCTTATCCCAAAAACTTGTAGCAGCGATATAGGTTTATTTTTGTTCAAATTACTCAAAAGAACCTTGACAGCTAGCACAGAACTTTATAATCAAACTGCACACACTTTCAAAACAGTATTGTGGTGGTACTGATGATATCAGATGGTAATGGCATGGAACTTCACAACTGTGATATACTACACCACAGTACTGAATACCAGAGAGTACCATGGTGCATGGTCAAAAAACATGGTAGTACCTTGAGAACACGTCCAAACAACTTAAAGCACTGCGATATGAATTCGGGATGTGTTATCATTTCAGACAGTACTCTAATGTGCAAAACATCAACAAAACACAACCAGTGTCGAGAGCCGATAACACACAGCAGCTAAAGTTACACACAAACACGAAGTTCAAAGTTTACTTTCCAAAAAATCACGAACAATGTCTGTTTTGAGCCACAAGGGGTCTGTCTCAGCTGAGCCTTTCCCTTCCCCCAACACTAGCTTGTTTTATTGTTGAAGACACGCGGTGAATGAGACGTTTTTAGTCTGACGAAAGGTATCAAACGCGTTTTTGTTTTGACGGTTTATCGGTGCGCGTGACAGCATGGCGGTGCCTCTCGAGCGCAACAAACACACACAAGCAGCAAAATAACGCTCGATTCGTGCCAGCGAGTCGGTTCTAACGAACTGTCGTTTTCAGTGATCCGATTCACTTGATTCATCGCTCAAAAGCGCTCCTAGTTCTTTCACAGATGTTTTCGAAATACTCTCAATAAGTTTGTAATAAATCTATAATCTTATTTTACGTTGTACGTAAATTAATGCGTTTCATCTTGGTGTTGTCACGCCAATTCTTGCCAGATAAATGTTAATACAGGCACCTACTCGAACAATATTAAGTTATATATGGCTGTCTGTTTTTCTGCCCTAAAGTACCATGCAAACACAGCGAATCGGTTCGCTCGAATCATTCAAAAGAACCGGCTCAACATAACGATTCGTTCGCGAATCAGACACCAATATAACAAAGACAACTTGGGGGCACTGAGTCCATTAAACCAGTCGGCCGGCTGGAATAAAGTCCAGCTATTGTGTGAGACAAAACACATGGAACTAAGCGACACGCCGCGATTAAGCGCTGTCGTGTCATTAAACTGCCATTTCTGCATCGCCAAATGTCACTCGATGCGCAATTTGGGAACAAAAAAGGTGGACATCCATCCATCCTTCCATCTATTTATCTATACATCCATCCATCTCCAAAAGGCCAGAGTGAGCAGCTCGCTAACCGGCCGGCGGTGAGAATAGGCTGCCGGTGTCTCTCTCTTCCTTACACGGCTGTTGTGCTCGTCCAAGTTTGGGTTGTTCCTCTGAGACGACCTCGTCCGGCCCGAGATGAAGGGACTGATGGGCTTGTGCTCCGAGCTCTTTCTGGTGTTCACCATGATTGCTGTCTGTCCTCGCTGATAGACAGATCCTGTCCTGTAGCTCTTGCCAGTTGCTTTCGTTCTGACTGTGTCTCAGCTAGTGGAGTGCCGAGGCGCCATTTCCCTTTCTCTCTCTCCCTCTCTCTCTCTCCCTCTGCTGTCAGCCAACCGAAACTCTCCGGCGAGCCACTTCCGCTACAGAGAGCGCGCGCTTGTGTGAAGTTGGCGCCACAGAAATTTTGAAAAATAGATTTTTTTTATATATATATACAAAAGCTGCGCAAAGGTGAAAGAATACGTTGTTTTCTTTTAGTTATATTTACACTGTTGGTATTGGCAGTCAACTAATGTTTTAGTATATTTAATTACAGTAAAGTATTTATTTGGTGAAGAATGTAAAAGTTGCAACCTTTTTTTACATTTTTAAAGTTGAAAAATGTGTTAATTTTCTTTCTAATATTTGGCTCCGTAACAAAAAAGTGATCCACGGTCATGTTTGGTCATCCACGAATATGTTTGGACATGCTATGTCCAAAATGTTGAGCATGTACCAGTACCGTGGTATTTTTAAGTACCTTGGACAGTACCGTGCAGTTAATCTAAGCACCATATTACCAGTTTCACTGTGCCATGCACAGTACTTTTTGTTATGGTTATATTTACACGGTTGTTGGCAAAAAAGTATGAATAGGATATGGTTTAAATACAATTGATTTTAATAATTATTATCATTTCAAAACTGAAGATGTCAGGGACATGCAAAGTGACTTCCAGTCACGGAAAAGGATGAATATGTTTATCTTAAAATGTCATGGGAAAATCATGGAAAGTCTATATGAATTTTTTAATACATTTTCATCCAGTGCAGATTTTCTCAAACATCTTTGTTCTAATCAAGTCGTCAGGCAAAATGAAATTTGGAAAATGTCATTTCAATCATAGTAAAGAATGGGAAGTCAGTCCATTTCCAAGTTCAACCAGATGGTTTGACTCTGATATTGTTCTTCTGTTAGGAGGGGTGAGTAAATGGCAGTGCACTTACAAAACACCCTAATGTGATTATCTTTGGCTGAAAATGTGTGTATTATATCCTTCACTAGTGGCTGGTATCTACAACAATAATGATTATTTCCAAACAGGTTTCCCCGAACACTCCCCGTCTCCCCATTCGTCGATGAAACTGATAGCCATGCCCCCAAATTCTCGCCATTGGCAGAGAGCTTCGTTAAACCTTTCTGATTGGCGAACATGCGGGGGCTACTCACTTTCTTTGTTGCTTACAAGTTTATAGCTATCCAATGATTTATCAGAAGGACATTATTTCAGTAATATATGCCAGATAGTAGGGTCAGGTGACGTGTGTTATTAAAATGGCTTCTATAGGAGCGTTAATCTGCACATACTATTGAGGACATTTTGTTTCTGTAATGCTGCTAACTACGTTCAGCGTCTGTCACTATCCACACCCAACACAAACACAACGCGCGCCGGCCTTTATTCAGCTACATTCAGTGAACCAGCTCATTATATTCATATCATAGAGTAGTAAGTAAAACACCATTTCAAGATCATTTGCCTTTGTGATGTCATAGCGACGTGTGCACTGTGCACAAACGTTACGTCAGGCGACGGAGACGTCACAGGAATGGTGGACTGCTGTAGCGCGCGGAGCGGCATGACAACTGTGAGAAACTTACGAGCCGAAAAGACCGCTTTACGACACCATTGAACCCTTACACTGGTAACGATCTACAGTTTTATACTCGGAATTATTAATTTGCGATCCAGAAGTGATATGTTATGGGTTAAGCGTGTGTTTACTGACATAACGCTCCCTACACTGTCCTTACGTAATTTTGGCGCACTGCTTTCATTTGTTATGCTGCTTTTGAACCGTTTGTTAAAGTGAATATGAATAGAACGCTTAAAGCATGCATGTGGGTACCATTACAGTTCAGAGCCTGACCTCAAAACGTTTGATTACATAAACTGAGATTATAAATAGACAAGATATAGTCATAGATTATTGTAAGTGCATCGTGACGCAGATGATCGCATTTTAAATATATCTGATGATCAGATTAATGCTGATGAAATGTCTTCATACTTTTCAAATGCATCAGATGGTAATTTCATGGCACATGTCCAAAAGCCAAGGTTTTACATTATAGAATTTGTTTTTTATATATATATATATATATATATATATATATATATATATATATGTATGTATTTTATGAAATATATTAATATTTATTCCTTTTAATAATATTTTTTAATTTGAATAATTATTCCATTCGTTATCAAAGAACTAAACAGTAATTGAATTCCGTGTATCATTGGTCATTTCTAGGCAGTTGAAAAATCTAGCCTTGATTGAAAAATGTGTTCATTTTAAATGTGTCAAATGTGTCAAACATGTTAATTTTACCTTGACTGGACTGGTATAAAAACAGATCAGTGTTTTGAGAATTTCAGATCTCACTTCACCTATCAATCTCACACAGAAAGTCCTGCTCCATGAATTATTCAGTAAGCACAGATGCAGTGGTTACATTGACTTGCACCATCCTTTATAACTTATATATGCCCGCTTATGTTTGTGTTGCAAGATGGACAACAAAAGACGTCATGATTAGAGATATTGATTCAAGAGAAAGGGTTCAAGATGACACATGGTAAGTCCGCTATAGACTGCTCTGTATCTATTCTCAGCCTTGAAACATTATCATGAGCGAACATTAGGCCATTACTGTATGTTCGTAATTGGAGTAATCTAAAAGCAATCTTCACTCTGTTGCCTTCATGAGCTCTAAGGTGTGAAGGGACACACAATGAGGAAGATGAGGATGATGAGGAGGTTAGCCCTATTAGATCCAGTTTCTCCGTGGAGGACCTGCTCGATGAGGTGGAGAAGATCAGCAGTGTCGCCAGTAGCGGCAAAAAGGTCAGACAGTTTATACCGAGACATCTTGTGTGCAATCGCATTCAGAACATTCTGGTGGTTACCTAAAATAAAAACGTTGTTGCGGTTTAGTAGCTACATCAAGTTAATGTCACTTTGAGAAAAAAAAGTTCACCTACAAATGAAAATGTACTCAACCTCAGACCATCCAATATGTAGATGAGTTTGTTTCTTCATCGAAACCGATTTAGAGAAATTTAGCATTGCTTCACTTGTTTACCAAAGGATCCTAAGCAATGAATGGGTGCCGTCAGAATGAGAGTCTGATAAAAACATAACAATAATCCACATGACTCCAGCTGATCAAATCAGTCTTGTGAAGTGAAAAGCAGCATGTTTGTAAGAAACCAATCCATCAAGGCTTTTTAACTTAAAACTGGTGTTTCTGGCCAAAATACGTGCCCATACTATATAATAATGCTTCCTCCAGGAGAAAAGTCCTCTCACATCAAAATCCACCAGCATATTTGTTTAGAACTCTTTTGGACTGTTTTGGCTTGAAAACGATGCTTGATCTGTGCACTTTTTCACAAAAAAACAATATAATGGATGGAGGACTCATAGTTTAACCAGAAGCAATGGTTTAAAGTGAAAAGTGTCTTAAATGACAGATGTTACAGATCTCTCTAGCTACAGGCCAATAAGTCTTCTTAATTGCGATCAAAAAGTACCGCCCAGTTTTCATAAATGGTTGGCGGAGATGGTTGCCGCCCTTAAGCTCGAAAGGATTCGCTTTTCCAAGATCGATGCTTCTAAAAAATTTGATAAAATCTGGGGCCCCTTCCTTAGGTATCTTTTTAAGAGTTGAATGGATAGCTTCTGTGTTTTATTCCTTCACTCCATCTTTAACGTTTTGTTTATGTTTGATTACGTATGTATTTGTTTAAGGTGTATATTTTTAATTGTATCTGGTGCCTGTTCGTGGGGGTACGTGGGGGGTCTCTTGTTTTTTGTTTTGTAATTTTTTTGAGTTTTTTGTGTATAGTATATTTTTTGCATACATTTTGTGAAACTTTTATTTGTTTTATGTTTATATAAAAACTTATAAATAAAATTATTTTAAAAAAAAAGTGTCTTAAATGACAGATTTGCTTCTTACAAGTACACAGCTTTTCACTTAACAAGATGTTAATTGATTGACTGGAGTGGTGTGGATTACTTTGTGGATTATTGTGATGTTTTATCAGCTGTTTGGACTCTCATTCTGACGGCACCCATTCACTGCAGAGCATCCGTTGGTGAGGAAGTGATGTAATACTACATTTCTCTAAATCTGTTTAGATGAAAAAAATAACTCATCTACATCTTGGATGGCCTAAAGGAGTAAATTTTAATTTTCAGCTTTGATTTTTGGATGAAATATTCCTTTAAGTGTGTAACTTCTGAGTCACTGGCATCATCAAACAGAAATGCAAATATAATCAATTTTTTAAGGGTTCTACAGGCTTCTTAAGGGTGTTTTATGGCCAAACTTTTTCAGGTGGAGATTGTAGTGAGACTGTGGAAAAATGGCTTCACGGTAAACGATGAAGAGTTTCGCAGTTACACTCTAGAAGAAAACCAAGAGTTCTTGGAGGCCATTAAAAGAGGGTGAGTAGTGTTTTTGTCACTGTGGCAATATTATAGCATTCACATTCCAGTTCTTGCAATGGTTTTAAAATGGCCATTCTATTATCATTATTGTATCCATCATATGATGACATGCAGACATAAAATCTTTTAGCTTTGTAACAATCTAAAAATCCTCTATTTAAAGTGAGCTGCCTCTGGAGCTAGAAGGAAGAGCTGAGGATGAAGAACTAGAAGTCAATGTGGAGGATATGAAAGATGAAGTTTATGTCCCAAAGAAAAAGACCTTTCACCCGTTTACAGGCCGAGGTTACAGACTGGGAAGGTAGTAGATCCTCTCTGGGTTATATTGTTTTGAATTGGCCAAAGATTCACACCTGAAGAGAAGTCATAATAGTGATACTTCAGTATATGCTATTTAAGCATTAAAATGAAAGATTTGAGTAATTCATCTAGTCTTAGTTATTCCCACAAACATCCACTAGGTGTCCTTGCAGCACTACTCAGTGATGTTTTGACTGTAAATGTGGAATGGATAGCTTCTGTGTTTTATTCCTTCACTCCATCTTTAACGTTTTGTTTATGTTTGATTACGTATGTATTTGTTTAAGGTGTATATTTTTAATTGTATCTGGTGCCTGTTCGTGGGGGTACGTGGGGGGTCTCTTGT